ACAGGTTATGCAGGACGTGTTTTCAGACACAGATGTTTTAGGAAATGAGGAGATGCTCACTGCATCAGTCAGAGTTGAATAACCTGTTATCATGGGGAAGTTTATAAATGTTTTCAGCTTAAGCGGTGTGTGTAGGTAAGGGTGGTTTCCACAGCTTCAGTTTCAAGAGTGGAAATTCAACTCCAGCTTTTGAGAGGGGTTTGTTAGGTGGATCAGCATCAGCAGAGGCTGTAAACCACTGCTCCCATTCAGGGTGGAGGTTCCGAAGTGATGAGTCATGTTAAACAAGGGTTTCCCCTTCACTTTAAGTATTTCAAAGATTTTTGCAAGAGCAGCAGCAAATTGATTCATTGTCTGGTTACATGACTTCATCGGACAGCAGCAGATAACAGAGAGGAACGTGCTGCTTCTTTAAATGTTGCACACTAGTTGTGGGGTCACAGCCTACAGTGAGGAATGGCATGGTTGATAAGGCTTAGGTGTCATGAAGTCAGAGGTTTCCAGTATCCTTAAAGTGCCATTATGATCTTTTCCACAGAAACGTATGACAGCGAGAGACAGCTCTGCTGTGGTCCAAAAGGGAGAAAGAAAATCCTGAACAAAACAACCCTTGACCATCGGTGCTGCCTTGACAGGCAGTATAACCCCAAAACTGAATGTTGCTGTGGGCAACCTGTACCGAAAGCATCTAATCTCTCAGATTGCTGCATCCAGGAACAAAGAGGTGAGCTATTCACTGTATGGAAAAAGCTGAATTACAATGCTTTGTGTGTTTACACCACAAATTTAGTTATTTTGCAGAAATTTGTCCAGAAATGTCTTTTTTTTATCATGCTGCTATCACGGCCAGTACAACCCCAGAACTCACAGATGCATTGGGGTATCTGGAACGACAGAAATTCTGGAAGAAAAAGGCAGTGGGTTGGATGAGTCACTTCCGTTTAGTGCTAAATTTAGCTTTGATTTAAGCCATGTGTTTTTATTTTGCAACCCTTTTCATTCTGAATTTCTTTTACTCAAAAAAATGTTTGCTTTGTGCCCACAGGTGAGAAAGAAATGGTGAGAAACAAACTGCTATTTTCATCTTATGCCATACAGCTGTCTTCCTGTATGTGGAACAAATAATGTCTTTACCGAATCCGCCTCTGCTGTGTTCTACAACCCCATTCATACCAAGTGGATTTGTCTATTTATTACCTCACATTCTTATATTTCACTGGCAGATCCAGTTTGCCTTTCATTGTTTTCCATCTTATAACATGTGTTTATTTATCTCTTTTGCAGAAACCTGATCCCCGACCTATCTGGTAAGTGAACCCCAGTGTCATATATACACCTTGGACAATGTGACTCAATTCAACAACGCAGACAACATTTTTTCCCTTACCCGTGTAAAAGGAAGCTTGAGCATTTCAAGTTTTGGTGTCCTGCCCAGAGACATGCCATCAGTCAAACTGGGGAGCTGGGTGTACCTACTGAACCCCATTCTGTGGTGTTCGTGCAATAGTTCACACGCACAGGACGGTACAAAAAGCAGAGCAGTGATTTAAAAGAATAAAAAGACCACACAAAGCTTTTTTTGTTCTACGATAATGATTTTAGATATGTCTTTGCACATCCACAGCGTTAAACCATTGTCCGGTGTGTGTGGGTCACATTGTTACGATCCAAGCAAGCAGAGCTGCTGTCAGAGAGAACAAAGACAGCCTTTCTCGAGCTGTTCCTCAGGTACGAGTGTTTGCTTGTCCTAAATAGCTTTTGAAAGTTTTCACCGTTCGGTATTCCCCCACAAAACAGTTAACATAGCTGGCTTTGTTTTCACTGTAACAGTGCCAAGCAAAATTGACTTTCCACTGGTTGGATGACATAAACATTTTGAGGGATGTGTCATTCGGTGTTGAAAACAACAAAAAAACTGCTTGCGCATTGGTTACAGATAACTCAAAATGTATTTAGCCTATCTTGATAAAACAGATGATCAAATGATTACAATATAAAGTAACAGCCGTAAACCATTTGTATTTTTCATGCCTCCAGTTAATCACAGAGAGTAATTTGCCTTCTTCCGGCTCTCAGTTAGTGCAGGTGTGCTTCTATCTGCTTCCTCCCCTACCTCTTCTGCCTGCCCTCTATCTTTGTTCTGCCACATAAAGTAAAGAATTAGATCAGCTACAGTTCATATCTGCTGTTCCCATGCACAGGAAAACTGTGTTAAAGGTCATTCTTCTGAAGGGGAAAGCAGATATTGACAACAATGGAAAATAGTGTCCACCTAAATGAGACAACTACTCTCAATGACGTATTTAATTCCCACACCTCCTGTAGTATCTAATATTTCCTACTGATGTGTCCCCCACCCTCATAAATGTCTGTTTAGGTCGATATGATGCCAGTTTGTACAATCCCAATGAACTAATCTGCTGTAATGGGTGTTTGTCACCGTTGAAGCCGTGGATGGATCAGGTAATGCATTGGTTTAGTAATTCCTTCCTTTAAGTTTCTGACCTGATCATTGTCTGATTCTTTTTGTTTGGTGATTTGAGGGAACGGGGCGGCACGGTGGTGTGGTGATTAGCACTGTCGCCTCCCAGCAAGAGGGTTCTGGGTTCGAATCCCGGGGGAACCAGGACCTTTCTGGGTGGAGTTTGCATGTTCTCCCTGTGTCTGCGTGGGTTCTCTCCGGGTTCTCCGGCTTCTTCCCACAGTCCAAAAACCTGCATGTTAGGCTGATTGGAGATTGGGGAAATTGCCCTTAGGAGTGAATGTGAGTGTGAGTGGTTGTTGGTCCTTGTATGTCCTGTGTGTGGCCCTGCGATGGACTGGCGGACTGTCCAGGGTGTACCCTGCCTCTCGCCCGTTGACCACTGGGATAGGCTCCAGTTCCCCCCGCGACCCCAACAGGGAATAAGCGGTATTGATAATGGATGGATGGATGGATGGATTTGAGGGAACCTAAACCGTCTTTTGAAGTTAAGATCAAATAATCATCAATAATCAATAATCCATTGCTTTGTCTGGTTTGATAATTAAGTGTGAGAAAGACAACAGTGTAGTTTAGTGATCCTGGTAAAAATAAAAAAAGAACACTGCTGCGTTTCGTTGTGGACCAACTGTTGAGAGAGCACCAAACTCCACCCTGATAGAGGGCGTATTCATGAAACCCTTATAACATAGCTTCGTGTATGGTAAATGCTAAAGCACGCCGATAGGAAAACAGCAGTCTAGTAAGAGAGTAAACGTCTGATTTCAGTCATAGAAACTTCAGATCTGTATGGTAAAAAGTTTGGATGTTCTTTGACAATCCACACTGAATCTTCTGTGCATTTTGGACATCTTTTTATGTCAATCCTTTTTCACATAAACATGAAAAATGGATATCTGCATGCCTGTGTGCATCTTTATTTTTTCCTTATTTTTCAAGTGCTGTGGAGACACACCGTATGGTTTAGCACAACGGGGAGTGCTCTGCTGTAATGACACTTTGTACAAGAACGGAGAGGATGGACAGCATTGGTCAGTGAGCGGTCGTCCTCACAAGCCTGCCTACGGGACCTCTAGGAGGCAATTCTCTGGAAAGCACTGCTGCGGGTCACAAACCTATGATCCCCAGAACGAGATCTGCTGCAATGGACAAAGGTAACGTTTAATGATTGTTTTTTAAATAGTTGTTCTTTAATTAAATGGCCAGTGCAATGCTACTTAAATCCAGTAATTCAAACAATAAATAGAAAGGGTTGGACATACCCTCGCTACCAAGTTGCTTAATTAGGCAAGGAAGCATTCTTTAGGGCCAAGTTTTTTTTTGTTTCCAGATAAGTAAAAGGAGGAGTATAGCCAAATGCCATTTTTGCTAATGTCCCACGGTTTCAAACACAATCCAGACATTCCGTCTGCAGGACTTCCCCAGATACGCCTTAGTTTCCATTCATTCACTTTTGAATCCACCCAGCTAGATTGCCAAGAAATGCCTTATTTACCTCGGGATTTTTTTTTTACAGTTACAGTCTGAAATAACAAGAGTATGTGTGCCTTTTGTACTTAGTTACTTTTATTACATCAAGTGCATTGACAAGCTTAGATAGGATGTGTTTAGATGCTTTGGCAGAGCCAGAGCATCAAATGACAAATCCGTCACTGTCATGTCTAAATTGAGCTGGTAGTTTTTTCTCTCTAAAAGTTGTTATGCCTTGATTTCATCCAACAAAGATGCTTTATTACAAAATCTCTCTACGTCAATCCTGATTTTTCAGTTGAGTTTAATGTCTAGTCTGCAAGTCTTTTCTTTTGTTACTACATAGTCAGGTCTCCTGAGGCTGTTGGCCTCATGTCTAGTTTGCAAAAAAAAAACCTGTCTGGTGATATGCATGACGTCAATTTAAGAACAAAAACAAAACATAGTTTTATATTATACAGAAGCTCATTGTACACAGAAGTGAAACAAACCCATACAAAGAAATTCAGAACTTGTAATAAAAACGTGAACAATCAAAGTTAATCTATGGCTTTTTCTAAAACAAATAATGCCCCAGGCTCACCTGCAAATAATAAGCTAAACACTTTACATTGTATTCTACGCTCACCAATTCCCAACATGCAATATAGATATTGGTAGTTGTGGACCAATTGAAAGCCATTGATACATACATTGTTTTTGGTACATTGCAATTTTGTGCAAAGCAGCAGTTTTTAAAGGACACTGGTGTTTCTCAGTCTTCTCACATGCCTCTTCCTTTTCATAATCTGGCATAGATAACTTGTGTCTTAAAAGTTAATCATCATGCAGACAAAAATGCATGATATCCAAGATTTCTGGGAAGAGTTGTTTAACTCTTTTAACCTGAATTCTCATTTGGGATAGTGAATTTTGGATAAGGAATGAGTTATAGAGCAGTGTTGCATAACATTTCCAACTCTGTGTTTAAACTGGGTGAAATAGTCTGGACCAGTCATCACATGTGAAAGGACATTCAATCTTTGTAATGCATAAATATGGATATCTGAGATGAGAAGTCAAACAATCAGGGGCCTATTTTCTGTTATAATTGGCAGTTAATTAGTAAACTGTTGGTAAGTTGCTTACACTTGCTGTGCAGTCTCAAGTAGTTGTAGAGATTTGATACACCAAAATCAGGAGGAAATTATAATTAATTTCTTGTCTTTCGTAAGCTGTTTTGACTGCCTGTATCCTGCCTGTATCCTGATGAGACACGGCTTACCTCCCAGCTGATCCTGGTGTTAACTAGGCAACAGACTCAAATGTACTCATGTGGGTTAAAGTTTACTTCCTGTGCCACTGTTTCTACTCTATTTCCTGTAAGAAATCCATTGATTCCCAACTTGAGCGCTGCATCTCTTTTTTTTTAACCTGGAAATAGTGGTGGTGTCCTCAGAAAGTATTCTGGAGTACAGCTGAGACACATTTGGGGACCTATTCATATCCAGAGGAATAGAGACTATATCTTTTTAGATATCGTGATACGATTGATAAGGCTGGCACACAGTTTTCTTCATTCACTAAAGCATGCTTATTGTAACCCACCCTGTTTTGATTGTAAGTTTAATTGTACCTATCTAATTTTTCCTGTTTCATTTGGACTCATTTCACACTCTTAATTTTCCTCAGACACCCCAAGGGGCTGAATATGCATTGCTGTGGGCCTCAGGCTTACAACATTTCAGACCCACTGAAGAAATGCTGCGCCGGGACGCTGCACAACCTGACACCTGACATGAATGACAGTCAGTGTTGCGGATCCTCTCTGAAAACCAATAAGGTAGTGATTGTTAATGAGGCCAGCAACGTAGAATTGTTATGATGAACTAGAGCAGAGGCGTGCACTTTACTGCAGGAAATTTGAAATTAAATGTTTCATTTGACGTCCCTTTCTGTTCTATATTTTACCATTTATGAATAAGAAAATGGATCCAAAGTGTCCAATTTAAAGGCGCCAGTCCATCCCAGGGCCACTCAGAGAAAAACATCCCCTCACTCACAGTCAGGGCAAGTTGGAGTAGCCAATTAACCTAACACGCAGGTTTTTAGATGGTGGGAGGAAGCCAAAGTCATCATTATTTATATGGGTTTCAAATAATGTAAATCAACTGTATTTAATGTGTTTCAGAGAGTTTCGTAGATATATACTTTAATTTTCAGCTAAACCCAGCTGAGTAAACCTGTCTAACTGCTTTGTAAGCAGACGGAATGCTGTACAAGTGAGGGCAATGAAGTGCTCTACAAAACCAAGGGAGGGTTCGAGTGCTGCAACCACCGTTACTACAACACTTCTCTTTGGGCCTGCTGCTCAGGGAGGCTGAGTCCTCGGTACAAAGAACGAATCCAGGTTTGTTGGGACTGCACACATATCCCACCACAAACAAAAACTTGATTTTTTTATTTTGACTGACTTCAAAGTCTAGCTCCTGCTCTCTGACTGACGTATGGTTCGTTGGTTTGTTTGTGTACAGGATCCATGTTAGTTCTAACTGGACGAAGTCAACGCAACGATCCCTTGCGAGAAATGTAAGAATTTTTATTCTAATTTTCATGTAGCATATTTTTCAGCTTTGACATGGACATAGTCTAGGAAAATAGGTGTATTTGTAATTGTTTTCACGTTTTTATGTCTTTGTTTAGTGTTCAGTGGGGTTGTGGAGAGCAGAACTTTCGTGGTGAAAAAACCCATCCATCTATATCCTGAAAACTTGTCTGTGCAGCCATCTTACGACCAACCAGGGAAGACATACTTTGTCATTACAACCAGCATCTTCATAGGTGTCAACCATGACTCAATTCTTCAGTCTATTCATTTCATTCTCTAATATGTTCTCAGTAGATCTCTTCTGGTTGGTATGTTCTTGTTTATTTGGTTTGTCAGTCATTACTTAAACCAAATATTAATTTTCCGATGTAGTTATTCCAGTCTATCAGCTATTTACTTTACTCGTATAATTATCATTAGTTGCACTATTCTATGTATGTTGCTTTGCCACATCAAGTACTGATGTTTGTGACTCACTTACAGAACTTTTCACTTCTTAAAAGAACATCAAGCGATCCGATAATCCAATATGGTGCTGGGAAAAATATGAATTCACTATGGTCCCATTGAAGTTTACATTGTCTTGCGAGAGCTACAGCAATAAAAACAATGTTCCAGTCTACTGAGAGTAGACTGAATAGGCAATAACGTCTTTGAAATGCCATGGAAAACACAGGAAGAGTGTGTTCATAAACTAATCCTTATCAGCTCATAAGGTTTTTATTTTGAATATATCAGTCAAAAAGCTAAGTTGAGTTTTGATTAACTGCACATACACTTTCTATCAGCTTCTGAATGTATACATGTGAATGAAATAGAATTAAAGCAAAGGCTCAGGTTTTCATGTATAAACATGCAATTTGAATATGCTAATTTAAGACTCGATTTTGTTTTGTTTTTCTAGCTCAGTTTTCATACTGTGCCTAGCCGTGAAAGTAGCTGTAAGTTCCATTCATCCATTTGTTGTATCTGCTTATTCTTGAGCCTATCCCAAATGTTTATCTGAAAAGTGTGGTACTGAATGTATCTGTTTTGCATGTTTATTTACATATTTTACACGTTTGTTTTGAATGTAAAACTGGGCGTTTTGCGCCTTCTTATTCTCTTGTGATAAAGTTATTGATAAAAAACAGAACAAAAAATTAAAGTTCACAAAACTTTCTTTGACAATGGCACCGAGGTCGTTTTTTTCGCTTGCTGCTTAGAGCTGTGGTGGATGGTACTATCTCCTAATGATTCAAATCTTACCTCACACCGTGGGGGAGGGTCTACCAATGCATGCTTGGTTTCTTTCTTGCCTTTGTGGCTTTTACCAGCATTCCATAAAAACATTTGTTCCCTCAGCTCATAACAGAGAAAGTTTTCTCCTGACTCATTTATTTTAAAATATCCATCCATCCATTTTCTGAACCACTCATTCCCAAAGGGGGTTGCAGGTATACCATGGATGGTCCACTAGTCCATTGCAGGGCCACACCGAGAGGAACAACCACACAGCAACCACTCCTAAGGGCACACACACGGAGAACATGCAAACTCCACACAGAAAAGTCCTGGTTCACCCCCGGGACTCGAACCCAGAACCCTCTTTCTTTTAGGCAATGGCCCTTAACCGCCACACCACTTTGCTACCTTTATTTTAAAATACATGTCAGTAATCCCAGCTGTCACTATAAATGCTTGTTCTCCAACTCCACAACACAGAGGTCCTCTAAAAAGGACAGAGGTCCTTTAGAGGTTGAAATTGAAATGAACTACAGGCTCTTTAGTAAGCTTTTGTATAGGAGGGGGAGAAAAAACTCTCAAAGTCAACAATGTAGAATTAAAAAACACTGTTCACGATGAATTAGATAAAGAACCATAAAGGTAAATTTAGCCTCTTCGCTGCACTTGGCATGATAGCACACATTTCTGTGAAATATAACTAATCCTTGCTGCTCGATAGTGGACGCAGATACAGCTTTTTAAAGGTGCATGTAATGACTGTATGCGATTTAATGATTGAAAAAAAATTTCAGGAAAAAACAATTTAGAGTCAGTTTAGATGTGTAAACCAGAGTGTAGTGTCATCTGGCAAAAGTGAAGTTTTACTTGCTAAAAGTAGTTCCTCATTCTGTACAATTGTTCAATTAGAACGTTATTTTCTTCACTGATTTCGTTATGCATGAGGTTACACTGGCCAAACGGCACATTTGCAGTCAATTACTGTAATAAATGCAAGGCAGGCGATTCATGCTGTACGATCTGTAAGGTTTTCTTAAATAGTGACTGAATGTCTTGAACACAAAACGTTAGTCTTTACATGTCTGGGTGTAATAGGGAAGAGAAAAAAATTCCCTAAACCTACTTAGAAATATGAACAGTAGCATGTGACATATCACACTGTGTCATTAATTTGCCCTTTGGGTAATCCCACTACATGAAAATGTGCTGTCAAGAAGAAGGGCATCTTTAACCTATCCCTGTTTCTTCTTATATTTCTAGCTCATTATTCTGTGGAAAACGACTCAGTGTGACATGTAAGAAACCTCTTCATTCTATACTCATTTGTTAATTTGAGACTCAATCAGACATTGAAATTGTTCCTCGGGAATGGTAAGTGAACTGTTTGTATGGTTAATTCGATATTTCAACTTAAATCAATCTTGATTTATGGTGAAATGGGTACTTCTCGACCACAGTCCAAAAACTGGCATGTTTGGTTAATTGGAGATTTTACGCGGCCCGCAGAAATGTCGTTGTGGGTGTGTGCGGTTGTCTGTCTGTGTGTGGCCCTGTAGAGGACTGGCAACCCTGGACAGGTTTAAGATGCCCAGTTAACACATTAATAAGACCACCATGTCATTTCAGTATACCATTATGAGTTTGCTTTTTTCAGTATGGCACACACTGAAACTGTTACATAGGATTGGCCCGGACCTACATCCTGTGCTGCTCACCCAAATGATGTAAAACAAAGCAAGAGAAACTAAACAAGCAAATCTGAATAAAAGCGTTAAAGATAAATTATCATGGAAACAAAGTGACATTTTTAAAAGAAAAAATGACCTCAAATTATGTCCTGATCTGTCATGTAATGTTTTGTTTGGTGTATTGTGTTTAAAGACTTTAAAAGGCCACTAAGAGCCACTTGTTCCTGACCTGTCTTGTTCCCAGACATGTTGGACAGATGTGGGAAAAAACAGTGCATTGAGTTTAAGGTTTGAAAGGTGAACAGGAACCATTTGTTCTGGGCTCTACTTCCAGATTTTATGCTGACACTGTTATGCACATAGTCATCCAATAGATTGTTAAGGGTCCTTAGTCATAGGAAGTACGTCTATTAACACATTCGTCTTGCTGGGAAGCAAACTCTACGGTTAAAACATAGACAATTCAGAGAGTTCCGGAACGATACCAGTAAACTCCTGCAGTGTGACAGGGAGTGGGTGGCTATGTTGAATGATAGTGTATTATGTAATGTGAAATTATATTCTCTTGGGGCTTTTCTTGCACATTCTTTAGTCTCATTCAAACTCAAAGAGTGGAAATTAATGATCTAGTCTAGACTGAGCTTGGCTTTCTCTTTGGATGACCTTTGCTCCTATTTTGATAAAGAATAATAATATAATATCCATCCATTTTCTCAACCGATTATTCCCAAATGGGGTTGCAGGTGTACAAAGGGTACACCCTGGATGGTCTGCCAGTCCATCGCAGGGCCACACAAAGAGGAACAATCACGCACACTCACAAGGGAACACACAGGGAGAACATGAAAACTCCACACAGAAAGGTCCTGGTTCCCCCGGGGACTCAAACCCAGAACCCTCTTGCTTTGAGGCAATGGTGCTAACCACAACACCACTATGGTGCCATTAATAACTTAGAATAAAATAGAATAATAGGTTTCAAACGGGAACTACAAGAACAGCATGATTTAAGTAACTTTGTTGTATGAGCCAAAATTAGTGTTTGCATTCTCTCCCAGAAAAACAGATTCTTAGACCATTTACCCATGTCTGTGAATTTACATTCCAGAACACACCCCCTCAATCATTTTACTTCATCTCCATGGAACATAGAATTCCTCTGCATTGGACTGAGGATTGGGCTGCTGGTTTCCTGTCTGAAAGTACAGCCAACTGTCTGTCTTATTCAATGGGATAGGCTAGCCACTGTCTAGCCTCGAATGCCCATTTTGAGAAGAAACATTCCCTCACCCTTTTTCTGACACCACTTTTAAACATTCATTTTGGGATTAAGCCCAGACAGGCTGTCAATTCAGCCCAGACAGGCTGTCAGTTCGGGATGATAGAGAGATAGATTGAGAGATAGAGATTCATACACAGAATGTATCTTTCTCTGGGAAGGGTGAAACAGTAAGTTTTAAAAAGTCCTTTATTGATCCCTATGGAATATGGCAATTTCAATGTTTTCTGTTTTTTTTCCAGAATCTAACAGGAAAGTGCATTGTTTTTCCAATTTCCATCTTCTCTCCTCACAGGTGATGACTCAACAATTCCTGCTTACACTTTCATCGCCACACCCTGACTGTTGACACCTGCTTGACTTTGTAGCCCCGGCGCCATGTTTTCTTGAGTAAAATCCCTCCACACTTAACTTATTGCCATAACTGCCATTCACCTCAGGGAATAGTCATTTCCCAATAGCATTGTGACATCCAACAGAATATCAAGGCAAAGCTTCATAAACAATGCCTATCTAATACTTGTACTGGAGGTATGCAATGTTTTTTCTTTATCTGACATTTTTTCATCGTATAGTAAAAATCCTTTTCACTAATAGTCACAATTTCACATTGTTAGTGTGCGCTGTGTGAACGGAACACTATTCACACAGGACATAGTTTGTGGGGGAGCAGACCCAAGTGCAGACAAAATTGTGAACAAGACGCAGCCAGCAAATGCCCCTAACAGAGATTTGATAATCAAACACAGTGCTCACAGGGAAAAACAATCTCAGAGCGAAAAATGAAAAAGAAAAAACACAGAGAGCAAGAAACATTGCAACTATAAACGATCCAATAAAGGATCATCTGAAAACCAGAAGTTTCCCTCATGAAGCTCATTATTCTGTTCTAGTAGCAGTACTGTAAGAGTGTGTAATGAAAAGGCGAAAGGGGTTTGAAAAATATGCATTTCAAGTACATGTTTTTCCTCTGTGTCCTTTGTTCTGCTTTCCACTCACTGCTTTTTTGTTTTTTTCTTTTTGGTAGTCAGTCAGATATTGCATCTGGGAGGCAGGAAAGCCTGTGAACAGTGGTGTAATGTGTCACCTCACAGCCAGATGCTTCATAGTTAGAGTTCCTGAGGACCTGCACCTTTTTGTATGTTCTCACTGTGTCTGTGTGGGTTCTCTCCAGGTACTCTGGCTTCCTCCCACCATCCAAAAATATGCATGATGTTTTAGTTGGACATACAAATTACCGCTAGGAGTGAGTGTGTGTGATTGTTTCTCTCTTCAGTAGGGAGCAGAGCATCAGTCAAATAGCTTTAAAATCTATTGGATGATTATGAACAGGTCATCCACAAAGAATAATGCAGAGCTCTTATGGAGTACTCAGGTGCTCTCTGTTTCATTGGAAATGTAGAGTCCACCATCAGAAAGTCAGTTCTACTCTACAGAGAAAATGTGGAACACTTAATAAATAACCTTTATTCAAATTGGGGCCAGGCTGCTCTGAGTCCAGATTATCTATCCTTTTACTGGAAAAGTCTGTATTAAAAAAAAATCAAATATTTCCCAAGTGTGAAAATTCCTTTGGGAATACAACTTCCGCATAATTTCTTTTTTCAGTAACCAACTTTTGATCTTGATGTTCTGATCACTTGTCTGATTCTTTTCTTTCCTCGCTGTTGTTGTGTTCCCAATTCTGTATTATCACATGTTGTATCGCTGACCACAGTGGGCTTCACCACAGCAGATGATCATTAGGTCAGAGGTAATTAAGTGACTAAATAAAAAAACTAGGATTTTTGAATATTTACTCACTGTGACATGTCTTTGAAAGCAGATTTTCTGAAATAATCTAATCTATAAAGGATAAAGACGATGATAAACTACATATGGTTGATAAGTGTCAGATTTTGACACTTACTTTTGACATATGAGCCCATGAAGATACAAAAGATAAAACTACAGTAGTCCCACAAGAGAAAATTCACATTGTTGCAACAACAGAAACATTTGAATGTTTTCTTTTAAAGTTTAGATTTCTTATTTACCAGAGGAATACTTAAAAACTTGTACATTTTCTTTTATTTCTCAAAGCGAATGAGAGGTTAGTTTGTTGAAGCCCTAAAAGAAGATGCATTGATGCTAACAGACAAAACATAGAATGTGAATGTGTGTGTGGCCCTGCGATGGACTAGCAACCTGTCCAACCAGTCCAAAATGTAGCCCATTGAGAGCTGGGACAGGCTCCAGTCCCTACCAGGACAAACAAATCTCTCTCTTTTTTTAAACAAACCCAAAAACAAGACACAGAATGTGTGAAAAACAAAGTTCTCCATTATTCACTTCTTTGTGGAATTACTTTTTAGCCATACAGGTATTAAGACTGTATGATTTTCCACTTTGACCATCTCTTCTAAATAGGACTTTTAAGGCCCAACCACAGAATTTCATTTAAAGTATGTTTGAACTTTGACTGAACCATTGCAATAACTTGATATTACTGACTACTTCAGACAGGTATGCTTTCATTGGTCTTTTTTTAATCTGCAGCACTTTGCCGCACAGAGGATTTCCATGTGGATAAACACACAGAGACTGAGAGAACTGTGTCAGTGCCAGACTGACCTCCGTCCGCACTTTCAGATTTAAAAAGTCAGGAAGTTTTTTCTTATATCCGTTGAAGTGGTTATGGAGATGACGCATCACAGTGGCCAGAATGTTTGTTGTCATCATGGGGATATGATTACCAACATGAAAAGATTTACGCTTCCTGCGAGAGGAACTAAGACATAAAACTAAACAGGTTTTATTTATAATGTGATTTATTTACGTGAATATGTTAATATTTCAGTGAATTCTAGTTGTAGACAAGCAGAATCAGAACGATAGCTGTTTGCAGTTATAATTTTGTAACCTTGTATTGAAAACATCTGGCATAGCTGTGTGGAACCTTTTAATTGTCAATGGTTTGAGCACAGGAACTCACCGTGTCTGAACTGTTTTTTCCTGATAACTCCCACACACTAGACATAAACATATTTCCGGCCTGATCAAGCAACACATTAAACAGGCAGACATATAAATGGTTTTCCAGTCACTGGACAAGCTAAAAAACAACAACATAACAATAGAGGTTACAATAAAACACAATTCATTTTCAAAATATCACTATGCTGCAGTCTTAAAAATTAAAAATTTGAAAAGTTTTCACTGTGCATGATAGATTCTCTATTGGATGATTGCAGGATGTGTGAAGAAATACGCACGTTGTGGGAGCCAAATTTAGATCCAACTCTTTTCCGCTGCGTGGGCTTAGTCCTAACGGCTCCATGTGGTTAGGATTTTTATTTGCTTGGCAAAATTAAAGACACATTAGTTCCAAATTTGATGGTTATGTTTCTTAGTGTCTAACAGATCATGTAAAACTGAGTCCCTCATTCTAGAGAAAATGTTCCATTGAATCAATTGCAGTTGAAATATGTTTCCAATAATTTGCAAATGTGCAACTTTATGAAACCATTAGGTGCTTTATATGTTGATAGCTAAATAAACAATGCTGTTGCCAACTATGTCTCACTGCAAATCTACCAGGATTGATGCATAAAGTAGAGATGCACCCCATTTCTCTGATAAGTTCTGTTATTTAATTAAATATGGGGTTGTGTATGGATCAGTTAGCAAACACAATCATTGGTAAGTCCTGTTAACATAGACTTAACTTTGCTCTCTAATTTCTGTGGTAATAATTGGTTGAGCAGAATCCAACACAGGACTTGTATACATAGAAAGAGGGATTAGCAGTGTCTAAGCATTTGATAAACGACTTCGGATCAGTTTTAGTGCCATTGCACTATAGGTTGAGAACTAAACGACCAGAGATGAGTAGAAGGAAGACTGAAGCTTAAGAGCAAGAGCTGAATTAATGAGTTGCTGGTGACGAAGATTATCTGACCACTGGCCTCCATGCTAACCAGGCACCAGCATTCAAACAGCAAATACAAGGAAACTCAGCTAAACTGTCTAAGCCATTTATTTCATTTAGCAAAAAAACTTTTTTACCGTCAATTTTATCTTTATAGAAAGACATGAAATGAAATAGTGATCAGAAAAATGCAGAGGTGACAGAAAGAGCCTACATTGCACATTTCCTGTTATGTTCCCAGCTCTGGAGCTGGCTCCACCCCCACCTGCACACCTGCTCAGCTACTCACCGCAATCAGTGCTCATCACCCTCACCTGTTCCCACCTCCTTATATTCTCCGTGCCTGCCAGAAATCAAGGCCAGAACGTATCGAACCTAGAGTGAGTACTTCCAGCATTATATTGTCCTGTCTGCCTGATCTTCGACCTGCCTTCCGTCTGCCTGTTTTCCAAGCCTGCCTGACCCCCGCCTGATCCGTCCGTTCGACTCCTGAGCCTGCCTGTCCCTCGCCTGTACCTTTGCCTGATCCTGACTGCCTGCCCGTGTATGACCCCGCCTGCTTGCGACCTCGAGACCCCACCTGCTCCCCTGGATTGCTCCCCTGGCTTTGACCCTCGACCAGCCCCTGACCACGAGTTGGATCATCTCTGCTGTCTGGACCACCCGTTACCGAACCTGGACTGTTCTGACCACGACTCTGCCGAGCCCCTGTCCACAAATAAATCTGTTTGAACTGACCGTACGCCTCTGGTTGCTTCTGGGTCCTAATCACGTTCATTACATTTCCTTGTGAAAATGAGATAGCTTTTCTGGCTTTGAGTTTAGAACATTTTTCCAAATCTCTCACTGCTGAAAGTGAACAAATGCATTCCTATAGTATCAGCCTTTAAGATAAAAGCTACTTTTAAACGAATATTTAACCACACATACATAAAACTGGACATTTCCTGTATCCCTTGATGATCAATAAAAGACTCCATCGAGAAAAAGAAAGGGTGGGAGTTGGGAAAATGCTAATTAACTCTTTATATCCTCTTCCAAGAAAAAAAACCCAATGCCATTCTCCTACAAATCAAAAGCTGAATCTTAACATTTTTGCCTCAGTGTATATACAGATTTGGTTATAAATTATACCATAAATGAATGATTTTTATACCTCTAGTTATGAAAGAATACTGTAACTGTCGTAGAGATAAGTTGTTTATTTGTTCACATTTGATATAGTTTTATGTGTAAATACTGACTGAATGATTGGTGAAGAGATGCACGTCCATTAAGGCAACAGCCAGGAAAAAATGTTATTTTACTCTCCTCTTTAGCTCGCCCAACGGGTTTTCGATTGGGTTTAGGTCTGGGGACTGAGAATGCCATGGGAAAACCTTGAGTTTGGGACGGTCAAACTATTTTTGTGTAGATTTTGCCGCATGTTTTGGATTAATAAACCCTCTGAAAGACCCAGTGATGACCCATCCTCAGCTTTCTGGCAAAGGCCATCAGGTTTTTATTTCAAACGTCCTGGTATTTCAAAGCGTTCATAATGCCATGCACCCCAATAATATTCCCAGGGCCTTTGGAAGAGAAACAGGCCCACAGCATCACAGATCCTCCACCATATTTCACAGTGGGCATGAGGTGCTTTTCGGCATACTCATCTTTTGTTTTACGTCAGACCCACTTAGAGTGTTTGTTGCCAAAAAGCTCAATCTTAGTCTCATTTGACCAAAGCATTGATCCCAGTTGAAGTCCCAGTGCCGCTGAGCAAAATCCAGACATTTACGTTTGTGAGTGTTATTGAGAAAAGGGTTTTTCCTTGCATGCCTCCCAAACAGCTTGTTGGCATGTAGAGAGCGTCTGATGGTTTGTCACTTACAAAAATGATCATGAACAACAATGCAAAATCAAACAACAAAAACAAAACAAAGAAATATTTTAAGACCCATTTTACACATCACCAGCAAATCCAACACAATTTTAGACAGATATTGAACTTGCATAGATAAGCAGTTTTTGTCTGAACTGAAAGAACAGACAGACTAAGTATTTTTCAACCCCACATTTTGTTTTATTTATTTATTTATTTTTTAGGTATAGCCCTCTCGGATATTCAGTGATGTTGGAGAGCAATCATTGAGCAGCTTGAAAAATGAGAATATAGTTCCCTCTGGTGGAACTTTTAGAATAAGTCACTGCAGTTATTTCACTTATTTTTTTCAACTATAATTGTTCAAGTTTTAGATAAATAAAAATATGTGGCTAGATTACTTCAACCCACAATCATATTTCCTGACACGTACTACGTTTCAAATACTAATATTAATTATTGTTAATCCCCCATAATATGGGAGTTGAATATTGGTAATGAGAATGTCAGCCTTCACAGCTTATACACAACAGCAAAAAATACATCCAAGAAATGTAAGAGTCACATAAAAATCTTAACACGAACTATCACGGAAAACTGAAATATAATTTCAATGTTTTGTATTTTTGAAGATGCATAAAACATCGGCGGAGGGATATGTGATGACTAACCGCAGCACACGCAAGCGTCGTTGGATAGTTTTCCGGGCAACTCAGCAACACCAGGATAGAGCGCACACTGATTTCTTCCACCGTACACATTTCCGGAGTCCGATATTAATTGCTTGTTGAAAGTAACGCCTCTTATCGTAACTTAAACTAAGCAAAGTGAATAAATATTTGCTGTATCTTCTCAGAGCTTGAAAAGTCAACGAGACAATGGTGAGTAGCTAACGATAAAGCGGGTAGCATTTTTTGCTAGCATTGCTGGACATCAGTAACGTCGCACAGCTATGGCTAAGTAACAGCCACTTAGTCATCGCTGTTGCTATCAGCTGCAGGCTCTTTGACAACCATTTTAGTATCTTATTATTTAGCCGTATTAGTGTCGGGGCACTGCAGATGCGTCTGCCTGGACGTTGGTGGAGTGGTACTTAAATACTGGAGTTTATTCCAGTTTTTTTTTCTGTGCAGCTTATGCCACACATCCATATTCCTCACTGGTACGTGTGAGCGGCCCAGTATGCACGTCGTACATTGGGGTTAGATAGGTTGTCTTCTGTTGTTATGTGAAGCCACACTCATGGCCGACGGGGCTGTGTACAGTTTCAAACCAACACGTTTGCAGCATTTTGGCCGTTCGTTTTAGCTCGAGAGTGGGCGTGGTGGTGCTACCGAAAAGGCTGCTGTTTAAAAATAGACCGTCCAGTGTGAATCTTGAGACCCATGCCGTTAATCTGATAAGAGAGGCATCGGCACTCGGGCTAAATGACTTGCTAACAACCATTTTGTCATCCTGCGCGAGCCTTGTTGCTATATTGCCAGACCTCGTGCAGGCACATCGGTTATAGTTTGGCATGCGCAACAAGCGCAAAAAAAAAAAAAAAAAAAAAAAAGAGGCTGCCCACTTCCATTACATGCGAAAACCAGCCCACAGGTAGCAGTAGTCAGCAGCCCACTTTCGGCTACCGTTCCTGGTCATGTTTTTCTAACATGGTTCGACAAGAAGTCGCCACAATTTGGCTTGCGCGTTCTCGGAATACCACCATGACACCATCTCCTCCTGTTACGTATTGCGCCAACGTTGAACCGCATTCTGCTTCTGCTGAATGATCCTCCTTGCCACCCCTCCTCTCGCGTCTCCCTTCCCCCCGCATTGAACCAAAACATGCTTGGTGCAGTAAGCACACGGGACCCGCAGTGCACCTTCCAAAACTACTTGGAAACGGCCCTCAAACGATTCCTCTTCTCCCATGCTTTATGTGTCACTGCTGCTGCTCTCCATTTGTAAATGATAAGGCACGTGGGCATGTCATTGTCTTTGGCAAGTAAGGGACTTCTAACCCAGATCCCTCTAAGCTCAAATGTTGCTTGAGTAGACTTTTGGAGTTTCTGTTTTTCTTACTGGTCAAGTGATGGTGATACAGTTTTTTTTTTTTTTTTTTTTTTTTGTGGACACTTTTACCTGCAGCTTTTCATCATCTAAGTTCTCTAACACTGACCACACTGCCCTGCTCAAAAGCAGACACCGCTTGCTTCCGCACCATAAGATTGTTTGTTTTTGGAGTGGTTGCTCTGCAGTCTGTCCTGCTCCTTTTTTTTCCTGCCCCCCTCCCACTCCAGCCAACAAGGTGACTCATTGAAATTAATTCAAAGAGCATGGTGTTACCAATACCTCAGACGGAGGAAACAGCATTTGCTGTTGAACAAGAAATGCTTCTTAGACATAGTTACTCTTTATCTTGGATGCATGACCAACTCTACAGAAAAAAGGGTCATGTGAGGCATTTACTTTTATTTCTAGTTTTGAATGACCTTGGATAGATGAGTCCATACACTGTGGGCCAGTATGACAAAATCGACATAATGAAACAAAAATGACTGTGGAACTGTGGCAGACTGTTGAAGGATTATGTTAAGCAGTGGTTATTTCAGATTACTTCATAAAGATCTCAACAGTTAAAAGGACAGATAAAGAAACAAACGCCCCCGAAGCAACAGTTGTCCATAGGGTTCATATGTTTTTATTTTTATTTTTAAGGAAAAGTTTTCATTATTTTTCAAGTAAGACTAACAACTGTTCTTTAAAAAGGATACAAAGCAGTGGTTAGCTTCTGTGGTATTCAGTGTGCTACATTGGCGACCCTGTTCGTGGCTCACTAATTATAGCAGGCCCGTGTATTTCGAGCTGTGAAGTATTTATACTCATCCCTTATCACACTTTCTCAGCCTGAAGTAGGCATGTTGATTGACTTAAACTACTAAGCAGGCCTTTCGTCACCAGTGGAAGTAGTCGAGTCTAAGACAAGCATGTGGAGATATCATGTCAGTACAAAATGTAATGGTACTTACTCTCCCTCCAATAATGGGACACGTGTTGCACTTTAGGTTAATTTAAATTCAACAAATTTTGTTGAGAACTGGTCAGCTAGCTAGACCTCTGTTGAAGGACTGGATTACCCCTCCCGTTGATGCATTAAGAAAAAAAAAAGGTTGAGGGAGTTCATTGCTCTTAACTTGTCATTTTCTAAATGGATTTGCACTCCTTCTCAAATGGTGCCAACATCCACAATAATGTATTTAATAGTTATGCCATCTTATCATTAAGTACAGTTGTATTATATTTGCTTTGTCAAGTAATCTCATCAAGACAATGATGCAATTCTTGATAACATTTTGATGTACTTTTAACACTGTAATGCCGTATACTTGATGCATAGGTTTTCTGAAATGTTTTGCATCATTTAATGGTAAAAACTTTGCTCAAAACCCTGTTGTACAAAATCAGATATACCTGACAACAGCGGGCAGAGGACTACACAACAGTAATTTTGACTTATTGCACGGTAATACATGATGAATATTCCAAAATGATTTCTGTTATTTAATATTTTGTTTAAGGGCCCAATAAAGACTACAAACAACAAACAATAATTGTATCTTTTTTTTTCTTAGTTCAGGCTTTAAAGAGTTAAATGAATCTTCAAGATATACTAACTGTAATCATGGACAACTGGAAATAGTGTTTCCTTTGCAGCCATATGTCTGGATGAGTAAAATGGAGCAATATACTTACTATACATTGAGTATACAGACAAAGGAGGGTATTTGGTTATTTAACTCATTTATTTGTCTCCAGCAGATCAAGTTGGCCTATGGATTCCCTTTTTATTTCCTTAGTATTGGGCAAAGTCCAAAGCAGGGGGCTGATTTTTTTTATTTTATTTTATATATCAGTTTGTAAATTAGGCTAGTCTATACATTGTTCTTTTTTAAAAGGTAGTTTTCATGTATTTATTTATGCACAGTATAGGTGCACCCTTACACTTTGTCCAGTTTTGCTCCTAACACTCTTAATTATAATCGGAAATTTTAGTTTCGTGAATATTCTGTTGAATAAATATGTTGATCTGTATTTTGAAAGTAGAATTTGACTAAAGCGTGCATGTATCAGTGCTTTTCATTAGACAATCCATGCCTTATTGTGGTTTTCAAACTGTTCACAGGCGGATCAGCTGACAGAAGAGCAAATTGCTGGTGAGTTCACCCCATAACCATTTGTTGTCTTAAAAGCACCTTAATTCCAAACCAAACCTAAGATACTAAGGTGTTTAAAAGTATAAGGAAACTTAGAATACAGAAACTTATTTCAAGTGAATGCTCATGTCAGCAAACGGGCTCGTTTCTGTTAATCTGCAGAGTTCAAGGAGGCCTTCTCACTGTTTGACAAGGATGGTGATGGTACAATTACCACTAAAGAGCTTGGGACTGTCATGCGTTCTCTGGGCCAGAACCCTACTGAGGCTGAGCTGCAGGACATGATCAACGAGGTGGATGCTGACGGTGAGAAGAAACACTTTAGACGCAAAGAAAATTCAACTTTTAAAATGACAACTAGATTAGATCTCTTCTTGGTGACATTTTCTCCTTTCTTAAATATAAGCCGGTTACATTATTTTAAAGTGCAAGAGCAACTGTTAAGCTTCCACTCCTGATTAAATATTGTGTATTCTTTTAACCACATTTATTCAGAAATAGCTTATTTATCCTATTTTTTGTATTTAGGAAATTCAAGATTGATCAAGGTTTGATATGAAATTACTTGATGAATGTTTCAAGTTGACTTCATTAAAATCTCTGTTTGTAAAACTTTGTAGGTAATGGAACAATTGACTTTCCTGAGTTCCTGACCATGATGGCCAGGAAGATGAAAGACACGGACAGTGAGGAGGAGATCAGAGAAGCATTCAGGGTCTTTGATAAGGTAAAGTAGGACTGTGGAGGATTTCTATTCTGAACTAACTCAACAAAACTGGAAACCGTTTGTCCCTGACATCTTTCTGTATTCCTTGTATTACATGCATAGCATCACTGTGCTGGCAAGAGGAAGATATTTTTAGTTGGTAGTGTTATTGATTCCTGAATTTAAAAAAAAAAACATTATTCCAAAATTCCTTTTGCCTGGTGTTGTGGTGCATGACGTAACAAATATGCAACATTCAACTTTGAATTGTACACAGGCCATTTAGAAGGCTTTTTAGTCTTTTATCTCTGGACTTCCGTGTTCAAATAGTTTGTTTTCAAAGTGCTGGCATGTCCTGATGTTTAATTGTTTTTGATAAAGAGACAGTGTATGCAATCACTGAGCGCCGGTGCCAGCTCTGTCATGCATCAGAACTTAAAACTGCTTTGAAAAACATTTTGAGAGGGAGGGGCTGTGTTGGAACAAAGGTGTTCAGTGTGAGGCCTTTGTCAGCTGTGCTGCCACACAGAGAGATACAGGAGGTCATTGCTACCAGTAGCACAACAATGCATGATGAAGTTTTCTAACAATCATTCTAAAAAATACATTGCAACAAGGTTGAAGTCATTTTAACTTTATTTCATTCATTTGTCACACTGAAATTTCTACCACTAACATGGAATATTCCATTTGTATGAGGAATTTTCTCAGATTCTAGGCATGACATGCATGGGAGTCTTTTGATTGAGCTGTTGTTATGGAATACTCTGTTGTGCACTGCTATCCGACCAGCCAGAAAACAGCTGTTTGAAAACATTCCCGTAAGTGTCCGGCTTACCTGTTCAGGTTGAAGTGGACTGCAAAGATCTGGAAGTTGACTTTTTAATAAAAGCTACGTTTCATATTATTTAACTTCGTAGAGCTTTCCCATCCTGACACTGAGGTGGTATTTACTTCCTTTCTAAGGGTGAAGAACTACAGTACCAGTAGTTGTTCTTTGTCTTGCGCAGGATGGAAACGGTTACATCAGCGCGGCAGAGCTACGGCACGTCATGACCAATTTAGGGGAGAAGCTCACCGACGAGGAAGTGGACGAGATGATCCGTGAGGCTGACATAGACGGCGACGGTCAGGTCAACTACGAGGGTGAGTATTCTGTCTGGTACACAGCCAACGGTGCGCACACTTCCCCTCGTTAGCCCCCAGTTTCAGAAAAATGCTGTCACCGCCACCTGAAGAGTGCTGAGATAAGACAGTGTTAAAGAAAAAGTTTATGATATTGTTTGTCTGTTTTTTTTCCTCCTCTTTGCAGAGTTTGTCCAGATGATGACTGCCAAGTGAAGAGAGCACTGAAGTTTTTCTCAATGTTGCTTGTCCTCCTAAGATTAATGTCTTTAAGAAACAAAAACAGAGCAACTCCTATCAAACGATAAACCACCCCTAAAAATCAGTTACATGTAAAATTTTACAATTTGCGCTTCGACACATCCAAAAACTTCTGAGGTATCTGTTCAGCTAATACCAACAGAATAATCCCTGAGGAAGTCATGGACCAAGCTTTAAGAGGGCCACAGCCCTCCTTCTTCAGACCAAGACTGCTGACTCACCCAGCTCCTGATTAATTTAGAGGAAAGAGCAACACTGAAAAAGCAGAGAGATAGGAAATCAGGATATAGTCTCTGTAGGGAAGTTGGCTTTTTAATCTTTTCCAGATAGTCTTCAACAAAGAAATTTGACCACCTTGCACCAGTGGTGACTCTAAATAAGTGAACTGAGTACTCTTCTTGCATGCACCCTTTCTGTGGCTGTCTCTTGTGGCAGCGAGGAGGCTCTGATGCCATCAGAGGTAAAGGTCAGATTGTGTACACACTGGAGGTATATACATAAACTTATAGCTATATATCTGTAAAATTTGTGTCACTTTTGAGCATTTGGTTGAGGTGTAGGTCGTTTTTTTTTTGGTGTGTGGCAGGAGGTGAGTGTCGGTGCACCTTGGAGAGTTTGTAAAAGAATGCCTGAGTCTGAACAGTTCTGGAGGTTTATCGCCCATTTGATGTGATTTTGTTGTGTTTTGAGTTGTGGGCCTTTACACGCCCGCACCACCGATTGGAGACAGTAGTGTTGTGTACTGCTTCAGGATGGTTATTCTGAAACACGAGGACTGCAGTTAATACGTTTGTTCTGCAAACAGACATCACGACAATAAAATATTGATGTAATGCTTTTTAAATGTGTTCAAATATTAATGTGTTGATGAAACTTTGGTTCAAAAATATATCTCTCTCTACCTATATATATGTATAAATATATATTAGTGTATCGTAAAGTTTGCAATGCCTATTGTAGTAAATAACCCGTGACATGTTTTTCTCTTGGTTTTGAAATGTGCCATAATACTCTTTAAAAAAAAACACCTCAACCTTCTTGCGAGAGTGCTAGTTAATCTGAAAAAAGAAGACCTAATATAATAACATATAAAGTTAAAAAAAGACATGCCGTTCAACATGTTTGCACTTTGGTATAAATCACGCTGTTTAAAGAAAATATAACATAAAAAAAGCTCTTAAAGAAGAAAAAAAAAACAAATCTCACTGTTAGTGCTGCTATGACCATAGGTATGTTTCACCCGTATCTTGTCCCGCTAGTGTCTCATCTTCAGCTCCTCGTCCAGTGATCAGATCTCACTCTTGCTTGCCGTTTTAAGGACAGAAGACATCTAATGTGTACTCACTAATGCTATTTGTGCTGAGTGTGCTGTATCAGATTTGGGCCCTTTGAGCGGGAGCTGCATATGGAGTAAAAAATGTTTTTTTTATTATTTTGGTTTAAAATAATTCAGCCGTAGCTGTGTAATTTGATTTCAGTGTTAGCTTTATGAAAAGTTTGCTAAGTTAAAAAACGTATAGCTTGGATGTGTTATGATTTCTTCAACGTGTGAATGTGTATTGCTTTGTTCGAGGCGTTACCCTTGGTTACCTTGCTAGTCAGGTGTGTGGCAGGGTATGGTTACAGGACTATTAACTTCTGAAGGCATCCCACTAATGTAAAGATGTGATATATATTTTCCATAAATCAATAAATTGACTGAGCTTTACTTTGCCTGGATTTCTTTGGCATGTGTAATCAGAAAAATTAAATCTCATGTCTGGATGGCACTCACCAGTCGGTGGACGCTGGAGAAGAAATATGACTAATAAGATAACATTTCACCTTTGCATATTTCTGCAGTCTTTGTTTGTCCGCGAGCCCGCTCCAGATCAGAGTTCTTATCTCGCACAGACAGCCTCAGATTGGGTCAAGCGAGGTCACCCTGGTCCTTCACAAGAGAAACTATGCTAGGCACAAGCTATATTTAGAGGCTCAAGAGATTGCTCCAGGAGCCTATGGTAATCCAGGTCAGCGCGGGTCATGACCTCTCACACACACACACACACACCACACACACACACACACACACACACTGCACACAAACTTGGGAGTCTCGTCAACTTGCGAGATCAAGAGCCAGTAGAACGCAGCTTTTCCTGGACCAGGCAGATTTGATTGGAGGATTAGCAATTAGCTAATTTAGCGTTCAAGTTGTTAAAGGGGATGAATTAGGGAACAGGGATCACTTTCAACGGAACAAGAAAGGAACACCAGAGGAGTTTGATTATCCCTCCATGGTTGTGTAATTGTAGGCTGGAGTGCCCCCTGTTGTCAGGACCAATAACTACATTTATATTTCAGACAAGGATTTTATTTTCTATTTGTTCTGTTTATAAAAAACAAACAATTTATTATACCCAAAATCAAAATTCCATAATATTCTACAGATAGATTACATAATAAGAACCGGCTGAAATGTTGGCAGACACAGAGCTGTTGTTGAACGAAGGGATCACCATTAAAGGATTGGGAAGTTGTCTTAGTAGCTGTTTGGAAAGAACTCATAAAAGCTGCTATGGATCTGTGTGAAAACCGATTGGGGCGGGTGGTCAAGGATCCAGAATTTCTGCCAGTGTAATTCAAGGTACAAACGTGTTTCTGTTTTCACAGAACATTGTATTGAGAAAACATCAAAAAGGAAAGGGGGGAAACTGTCCAGAGATACTTCAGCATGCTGCCGCTTGTTTGGCCCGAGCCAAGAAATATGTGTGCCTCGTCAATGTCACCGGCACATTCCAGAAGAGGAATCCACTGTCACATTACCGTCTCTATTATGATTGATTAGAATGATGTTTTTGAAGATTTTTGCCAGTGTGTTAGTATGTGTATTGTTTTACCATCAATTCCACTGAAATTGAACTATTTCTGCCTCTATTTCTGCCTCTGGTAGATCCATCAGCAATGTGAAACAACAGAAATTTAGCTTTTGGCCACAAACCTCTAGTCCTCAATCTTCTCCCGCAGGGATCCAAATACCTTAGGCATATTATGATCAGAGTTTGGAAGCCTGACAGAGACTCGCACACACTGAGCCATAGAAACCTCCACAATAAGCACACATCAGGGGTTGTGCAGCGCCGTCAGCACAAGGTGGCGCCGTTTTGTGGCGTTCCAACCACGTTTAATGCTTTGACTTCTGGCTAAGAGCAGCACTCACTGCATGGCCATGAGGCTGCATGAGATAAGACAACAAAACAGGCAAACGAACCAATTACTTGAAGCATTTGTATCTTATATAAAAGTACACTTCATATAATTCAACTGCATAATGCATAAACATAAACTCCTATGCGTCTGTTGTTTATTGTTTTGTTTTTTTAAAGAAATGGAGACAGAGAGAGGACGTGTAACCCAATCAGACTAAAGAAAATACAATTATTTCAGAGATACCGTGTTTGGTTCCTGTCATAGGTATGATGACATATTTGGCATGTGTAGAATATATTCTCTCGCTGTGGATATTTTGAAAATGTAACCGAAGACTTTCGCTTCCTCTTGCATGCTGTATCGTCTCAAACAGACAACCACACCAAAGAAAGGTGATAAGATCATCATAGCTGGGGTAACTAACTGTGAAATATGTATTATGTATACAGTACATATATAGACGAGATTTCATCATTCTGTGTAATCTTTGAATCTCAAGCTCTAAAATGAAAATTTCCCGCTTGTTTGAATGCATTGAAAGCAGATGTGTAAGAGAGATCGTTTTTCAACCTGACGGAAATGTGACATTTAAAATAGATTTAATCAAATTTCCTCTTTTGTTGAGACTCCAGGCAACTGACAACACCCCATCAAGACTTTTGTATCGAATGTCTTATAACACATTTTTATGATCGTCAAGTTGACGGCCTGCGTTGGCAGTGGTCAAAGGCTGGTCAGTCACAATGTGAGGGGAAGCAGAGGACGACGATGCCTCAAATGTGACGATTACTTCCTTAGTTCTGAGACATGCTGTCCTCAATAAAATAAATTAAAATGGATTCCCTTTGAGGAGTCTTCAGTTAGCAGAGGTGGTTTGTTCAATTAAATGTGTTATTTAATCAATAAATCAATAGTGTGTTACTTTTTTTACAAAGATTTTCACAAACTTCCTAACTAATGACCTCGATGACGTCCCTTTGCATTCTCGATTGTATTGACGTGACTGTGCTGTGTCTCAATTAGCGTCCAGCCCAGCTCAGAATGCTGCATAGCCATGCTCGTGCCATTAGGCTCCTTCCTGGCTGCATCCCTCTAACACCATTAGCTCTTGTCAAAAATGTTTGGCCTGTTTTTTTTCTTCTTTTCTAATGCGCTAATCTTAAAGCCGGGAGACAGGATGATGGTGAACATTTACAGAACACACCAGCCTGTGTGCACTAGCCTTTTGATTTGTTGTCTCCGTTAGTTAGTGTTATACATCCTAAAATGTGCAATCAACGTTCCTGTAAATGTTGTTTGCTGCATTATAGTTCTTGGTCAGTTTGTGATCAATTTCGCGTAAAAGAATCTGAAGCCAGTTGTGGGATGTTTAGACAAATGTAAAAGTCAGCGAATCTCCCGAGAGGAAAAAACTCATGCAAGTTCCATTAAGGTTTGAATGACCCCTAACAAGGTAAGCATGTGCAGGCCTGGCTCATTTCTTCTTCTTCATTTGATTTATAGATGCCTGTATATTCTCCACAGAACCGGGAAAGCCCTGGGTATTTCTTTTCAACTGCACCATTGTGGGTGCGTCACGATATGCCTGTCAAATGTTTTTCAACACATCATTTACGGAAGGAAAAAATCTCTGTCTCGCAACTTCTATCTGCTATCCCAGATGTGAATGTCTTTTCTAAACCTTTTAACCCTTTATCTACACTCAGAGAAGAGGACTGAAAAACGTTTCTTTGCATTCTAAGCGAGTAGTTGGGGTGACTCTTTATGGCAAATGTGTGAATTTAAAAAAAAGAAATGCCATCACTGATGCTTAATTTAGGAATGGCATACATAAACTTTATTTTAGAGCTGGTTTTGGTCGGTGCACTTCCTCCAGTTCCTGTGACTGAGTTTATTTATTGAAAATGTGCTCTTGTGCTCAACAATAAAAGGCTTATCTATATCAAATTACATTACAAATGCAACGATAACATTTTAATCTTGGATCAGATTCTACAAATATAGGTGAAGGATGGTCCAACTCCCCAGAGCTGGGACACAATAACACAAACAAACAGAAACTGTAGACAAAGTGTTGGTACCAGAATGAAAAACACAACCATGTCAAATGACTTTTAAGGATATCTTTTCACATAGAAACTCTGCCACTATCAGAGGGAAATGAGCAGAGCTGATGCCCGTTGGAAACTCAAACGTAGCCAAGATATTTTTGGTATGTCACAATCTACAATTCCCTTCTTTCAAGCCCAGATCAGCACAGTTCATTAAACAAATCCCTTTATCAAGCTCAAAATCTGTTTAGCATGACTGAATGTCAAAACAATCAAAAGGCAGGAATTACAGCCTTGGAGGGAAAAATTATCCGGCCCTCTAGACGTCATGCAAGACAGAGAAAAGAAACAACTATTGTTATTCACATTCAGTATCGTATCTGCATTTATTGAGTTCATGAATTGATCGATATCAATCTATGACATGAAAGAGATGGAAAAAATCTGAGGAAGACATGGCTGACTTGGTCCTTTACCAATTTGGAAAATGTTGGCCTTTTTTCCAAGTTTAGCAAAAATATAAACTAAATCTATGAGACATGAGTCGTCGCTTAATCATATCACGAATGTGAGAACACTCATATTTTAACCAACTCAACTCTGAGTTACCGTAAGAATTCTGCTTCCAATTTGGACCGAAAAAAATTTAAACTCTCTCATCTCCACAGGAGATGAGAGACAGAATGATGAGATCCCTGCCTGAAACTGATGCTTTTACGTCAGAAAATTCCTTTCGACGCACAAATGACACATCTCACACGTCTCATCGAGGATTTGATTGACAGGTTTTACATCAAGGCCCATATTTATCCAAAAATTCTATTATTCCAAAGAAAGGGCAAATGATATCCACCCGACCGAGCGTATCCATCTCAGAGTAGCCGATTCAACTCATTGTCACTCAACTTTTGATTCCACTTAACAGCAGCCGTGTGATGGCTGTTTAACTGTGTCTCCACAGCAAAGGTCAAGCAAAGCAAAAGCCAAAAATACAGTCTAAAAAACATCCATCTGGTGGATTTTCACCTCTGCCTTTTGCAGGCTGAAGGCAGATCTGAGGAAAAACTAAGTGTTTTTTTTGGGATCTCCCTTCATGTTCTCAGAAACGGTGTTTCAGCTCCGATGGAAATCTTTGTTTTTTGCTCATATTCTAAAGTGGTTCAACTCTGGGGTTTGGATCAATTCACTCTGACCAAGGCAACCCTTTTCAGAACATGTGAGTAATCAGTTACATGTGTTTTTTGTTTTTTATCCCCCTGGTGTTTAAGAAATATTCGTACATTGTGTTAATCAGTTGATTACTGTACAAAGGACAAAATATCATCAAGGAAACAGAGGTATCGGATGTAGACATTGTCTTTTTCCATGTTTTAATCACTAACGACTCATTAATCAGTCATTTTTCTTTAACTAATGCCATCTTACCTATTCATATTTCCCATGTCCCACTTTTTGTCATATATATATGTATATATATATTTTAAAAGTCCATATAAATTAATTCATCTGCTCAGACACCTGTTTCCATTCCACATAAATATTCCATCTGGACCAGTCATTCATCCATCAACCCGCAGATTTATCCATCATTTCTTTACTGTGTGTTTGGTCACTAGACAAACAGCCCCGTCTCTTGTGTGTGCAGTAATTCAGAGGCTCGGTGACAAACTGCCAATGTATCACAGCAAGAATACGAGGCAATTTATCAAGTGCCGCGATCCCAATGCCTCATTTGGTATGTTAACACACTGGTCTGCTGGTTTGGGGAATAGATGCACAAGTGTCAGCGTCTGTTTGGAGCTTCCACCTCTGCTGTTTATCGAAAATTGCCAACTTGGTTTGTTGAATGGGCACCGGCTCTCCAAACACGCTGTGTGGCATCCTCATCGGGGACAGCGTGGTGGTAGTTCAAAGTAAATTAGAACTTTGTTTGTCAGGGAGGGATTGAGACACATACGGCATCTGCGTTTGTTTAACAGCATCACAGAAGCCTATGCAAGCCCCAGCGCCTCCGACCACAAGCTATGCAACTCAGCAGTAATGGCTTCGTTTAGAAGTGAAAAATGCTGTCTGTTACAGAAACTGCAAGAGGAAGCAATGGCGAAGAGATAAACTGCGAGTGGAAGCTGATAATCAGGATATAATTACTGCGCAGCAGATTGTAATCATTGGTTATGAAGATTTCATTAGTGAAAAGGCTCTTTGCTGATGTTGGAGGGGAAAGCGCAGCATAGTACTCTGTCACTGTGTCATGTAGCAGCTCATCTGAGTTTCAGGACCTCGGACTGGACTCACCCTCTGCTGCCACCTGATCCACTGTGGATTTCTGATCGGAAGACAATAAGACACCCACCCCAAAAACTGCTTTCTTCAAAAATGGTGGGATGTGTGTTCCACAGAACGGGCTGGAAAATGTGAATAAAGAAAGGCAAACAGAGGAAAACACAGGAAAAACAGTCTTAAACCGTGATGCAGGATGTGCCTCACAGTTCATGTGGGTGATTCATAAAATACTGCAGAACTACAAATGCATGTTCCAGAGATGAGAAAATATCCAAAGCAGAAAAAAAAGGAGAGGAAAAAGCAGCTTTCAAAACGATTACTTTACTCACGTGCATTGCTTTCAGTCTCAGTCTGGTAAAAGGAAAAGCTGCATATAAGGCAAAACAGCTCACATCAAGGCTATTTAAGACCCTCTAAGAAACAAAAGACAACTTCCAAAGAAAACACTCGAAAGCCTTCTTTGCGCACAAATGGGAAACAAACCAAAATGAAGCAAAGTATCCAGATTGAGGGGATAAAGGCTGTATTTATTTATGGGGACTTTAAAATAAAGATCCCTTTAGTTCTTCTCCTCGTCAGCCAGTTCTGTCTCAGCTGTGCATTTTTTTTACTCTCTTTTTTTTCTTTTCTTAGTCAGTCGAATAGTGGGCGTGCCTCTGACACAGACTGGGAGGCGCGCGTACGCGGACCGAAAGTTTGAGAAGGAAAAGGCGCCGCGACAGTCGCAGTGTCCATCCGAGGGGTCAGCGCGCGTCCTGCCGGACAGCGATCTGCATGGGCAGTTTAAAACGAAACCTCCGAAAAAGATTAAAAAATCTCACGTTTTATTAAGAGAGTTCCTGAAAAGAGAAGTATACTGAGGAAAACTGCAACTTCTAACTTGTTTTTCAAGTGCTGGTGATCTTTGGCATCCATTAAAGGGTGAGTAATTATTTGTCACTGAAACGTAAACGAAGAACAATTCGTGTCAAATATGCGTTTGTATTCAATAGAAATGCACGACTGCAAGACTTTTCTGTTGTGATCATGTATTTTTCTTTCAATTCTTTTGATGATATACCTGAGGAGACATTTTTTTCCTCCCCTTGCTCCACAGTGAGGGAGAGACGGGCTGTGCGCTGCTGTGGGGCCAAATGATGGTCTCCACAGAAGACGGTTTTCATTTACTACCTGGAAATTCTTCAGGATTTCCTCTTTGATCAGCCCTCTCCCCCAGCATTTCCCAAACCCCTCAGCACCCAGAAAGTCCACCATGAACAGCAGCATCAATGACACCTGTCACAACGCCAGCTGCATTGTGGGCCGGGACGGAGACTCCACCACCAGCATCGTCATGTTCCTGGCCGGGGTGGTGGGGAACCTGCTGGCCCTCTTCATCCTCGGCGTGCACCAGAAGGAGCACCGCTCCCGCTCCTCCGTCTTCTGCGTCCTGGTGACCGGGCTGGCCGTCACCGACCTGCTGGGCACCTGCGTCCTCAGCCCCCCCGTCTTCATCTGCTACGCCAACAAGATGTCCCTGACCACGCTGGGCGGGGACACCCTGTGCAATCTCTTCGGCTTCGCCATGATCTTCTTCGGCCTGACCTCCACCCTCATCCTGTGCGCCATGGCCGTGGAGCGCTGCCTGGCCATCAGCCACCCTTACTTTTACTCCGTGCACATCCGCTGCAGGTTCGCCAAGTTCACCCTCCTCTTCATTTACCTCTTCTCCCTGGCGTTTTGCCTCCTGCCCTACGCCGGCTACGGCAAATTCCGGCAGTACTGCCCCGGGACCTGGTGCTTCATCGACATGGACGCCACGGGGGACGAGAATGCCGGCTACGTGCTGGCCTTCTCCCTGTCCTACTCCTCCCTCACGGCGCTGCTCATCCTGGCCGTGTTCGTGTGCAACGGCTCGGTGATCGTCAGCCTGTGCCAGATGCACCGGAGCCACGTGATCCGCCGCGGCTCGGTGGTGTCCACGGGGAGGAAGAGGAGGCTGAGCCTGGCCTGGTTCGGACACGGCGAGGAGGAAATGGACCACCTGGTGCTGCTGGCGCTCATCACTGTCTTCTTTGTCGTGTGCTCCCTGCCGCTGACCGTGAGTTCACACTTGGCACCCTCTCAGCACCGTCTCCCTTTCGGGGCTGAATCACGATATGTCACCGGATTATTATGAGTTCATAAGATTGCACACGAGGAAAGAACGGGCATGCACATGTGCTTTTATTTCAGTCCTTCGAGGATTAGTCAGGGACACATTAAATCACTTTAATTCTATTTGTCTTTTACACAAGACAGTGAAGGAGTTTATATCTCCAACATGATCTATAGCAGGTTATTTTATAAGTTTGTCCTCTGACCTCGTGCGCCTACACAAATAATTGGGCTGCTTCTCCTTATTCTGCGGTCGTCACTCGTAAACAAAGAGCTCGGCAGGCCCGACGGCCGTTAATGTTATGGTTCCTCTGGTATGTGTTTGTCTCTCTCAGTCTCTTTAACGTTGGCGCTGCGCTCTAGAGGCTCAACTTTTAGGTGTGTCTCGGAGCCGGGAACTTTCATCATACATTGCATGCAGTCAGTGTGTGCATGTCTGTTTGTGTGTGTGTGTGTGTGCGTGTGTGTGTGCGGAGCGTTTGTCTGCTTTGCCTGAGATTTCCTCCACTTCTAGAGGCGTGTTCCTAACCTGACAGCCCTGGTGGACTGGTCCGACCCTGCCCTCGGGGGGGGGGGGGGGGGGGGGGGGACTTTTGGCATCATTCTTGAGGCAAACTGGTCTGTGACCCCGCGCTTTAGCCACCTTTCCAGGAATTTATAACCTGCAAGGCTGTGATGATTGTGAATTGTGTTGTAAAAGTATAGATTATTTGACCAAACAAATGTCAGGTTTGTCTAACAGCTCTGATGAGCAAGTGTTTTACAACAAGTAGTAAAAAGGCTTTGCTGATGTTAATCCTGCTCATCATCCACTCATTGTCTGAGCATGGCAGAGCAGCCCCTGAACCTTTGGCTTACCTTTGATCTGGGTTGTAGTCAGCGGTACCCGTGGGGAATGAACAGCTCTGGTTCTTGTTCATTTTTCAACCCACTGATTTAAGACTTCAGGAAACCCCACTTTTTTTCCATCGGCAAACATGTCCGTTCCGGTGTAGGGCTGAGGAGAGATCGCGTTTCACTTTAAAAACCAAAGTTAGAAACTTGTAAGAGCCAATGTGACCCCAACGAAAAGTGAGTGGAAAATTAAAAGGGTTGATTTTGGGTGTAGGACACACATATGTTTGTGTAATGGAAAAAAACTAATTAAAAAAAACGCTCAAGTTCTAAATCATTTAGGATCCCGTTACTGAGCGGTGAAAAATGTGTGTGACGCGTCGTAGGATATTTGTTTGCATGTTTGCTCATGTAGTTCTCGATGGTTGTAACACAATGAGCTGAGGCAGTTGTGGTGAGGCTGGTGAGTGCATATGGGCAGACGACAGGAGGCCAGACAGATGTGAGCTCATGATAATCGCCAGTCGGTTTTGGCTCACGGCAAAACAGATGTCTTCAAAAAAGCAAAAAGAAACAAAACAGAAAACTTGGCTTATTGCGGTGCATAAAATGTCCTGCACATTTTGAATATATGCCGGCAAATAATAGCCCGACACGCTTAGGATTTCTGGACAAATTTGACAATTCATTCTTGCTTGTGTATAACAGCATACCAAACAGAAAAAAACCCTCCACCATGTGTTTCCAGTTGGTCTTTATACACTCAAAGCACTTTTATGTAACCGAGTTTACCTTGGAGAACAGTGTTTTCTTCTCTGAAGAATGGGATCTGTCTGGAGTTTGAACCCGTGAGCTGGGGCACCACTCTCACAGGTGTTGGTTGAGAGGAACACATGCACAGGAAAGAGTTTTTTTTAAAGAAAAAGAGAACATAAATAACATTCAGTGTTCTTTGGCTCACAGGCATGAATAATGCTTCTAGATTTTGTATTTACAGATAAAGTTTCCTAATTTCGGGTTTGTCAAATGGCCTCTCTGCATTTCTGGGACGTGTTTTTTTTTTTCCTGTGGTAGAGCAGCATTTCTCAATTGTCAGAGGTGAAGGTTCACATGTTGTGTTGCAGTCAGGGAAGTGAAAAAGATTTTTCATATGTTGAGGTAGGTTTTTTCCAGAGAAGTTACATTATTCCCCTCTTTGTGGGTGTGTTCAGTATTGTCTGATTCACACAAGCCTGCCAGGCTGATGAAAGCTAGTTTATTACATGTTGCCTGTAACGGATTTTTACCAGTGATCTCCTCAGTCAGGATTTGCTCTCGTTCAGGCTGTTCATGCGTGTTTTTAAGTATCAGATGCATTTGAAAAGAACAGTCGGATGCTTCTTTATTGAGTATGAGAAACATTAAGTGTGTAAAGTTAAACCGCCACTTTTGTGCAGATATTTCACCGTCATGCTTTGATTCAACAAAATAAGGTGGTGTTAACACTTTGCATTGATAACACAAGTTGGAGCTAATGAATAGTGTCAAAACGGAGCCTTTCTTTGCCCTTTTTATGTCTTTGCCCCTTCAACTCTTAGGCAGTGTTTCCATGGGTACCAAGAAGCTGCCCAGGGACCCTGTGTTGGTGTCAATATCATGATCAATAACGTGCTCTTCTGATGTCACAGCTCATTTGTAAGAGCCGTGCTTTTAGCGTAGAGTGAACCCCCGACTGTAGACAAAGAAAAACAAGTTCAATCTCCAGTTTCTCTAGTTTTTGTTTTTAAAAGAAGAAGGTGTTTCAGCAACTTCAGTATTTGTTTCTGTTAGTCGAGGTAACTACATCTGAGTCATAGTCAGGGGACTTAAATGTACGTGAGTTTGAGAGGTAAGATATAAGGAAGGAAAACAAAGATCTATATATACAGATTTTAGTATACAATTCAAATTGTATTGGAACAGTAGATCTAATGAGGTTTCTGGAACACTGAGGATGTAGCCAAGAGGATCGCTTACAGTTGTAACATAACACCTCCACTTTGATCAATAAGTGACGCGTATGTGCCACAGATAGAAAATGCCTCCTTTCTTTTTTTTAATGTTGACTAGAGTGGTCATTTCTAACCCTCACTTTTTAATAGAACTCGTGTTATCTCTGTGAAAAGGTCTGAAATAATCTTTAGGTCTTGAAGAATTACTAACATTTTGGAAGTCTGTAGGAAATTCCCTTTGAGTCTGATGACTGTTGAAGAGAATAATGCCTTAAAGATGTGTTCTGCCTTTGTGCCCGAGCTAGTAACTGAGTCAGTGGTACATTATCAAGCTATTTGCTTTCTCTTGTCAGCTTACTATTTTATCCACAAAATAAAACATTTGAAGTCTTCTGTCTATTTCTATCTCACCAATGATCTTTTCAGCCGTTGGTTGTCAAGAGGTTTTCAGTCCCTGTCTCTTTATGACTGGACTCCCATTGGTTCTGACATTAAACAGAGGAAATGGCAAGGCAAGCTACGTAAATCTAATTTGATTTGACATTTATGGATTAGCCCAGCACTCCTTACATTTGGGACTCTTAAAATATGTTCAAGCTTGTCGAATTGTTGTGAACAGAATTGGCAAACAAATTAAATCATGCTGTTGGTTTTGCCCTTAAAAATCAGCGGGTGCGTTTACGGGATGATTCATTACTCACACTTGCTCAAGTGCATCCCTGTATTTGGATCATGTTGAGGGTACGAAATGAAAATAAAGACAGAGGTAAAAGTAAAATACAAAAGCTAAGAGCAAACTGGGCCAGAGGAATGGTTGCTGGGAAGAAGCTGAGTAACAGAGAGCCACTTTGACATGTTTATGGTCACAGTGCATCATGCCTCCAAGAATCAGAGCAATACCGTGTAAATCTGAGCTTAGAAAAAAAAAGAAGATAAAACCACAAAGAGAGAAGACACTGTTCGTGAACTCCAAGACATTTGAGGAATAGAGGTTTCAGTTATGGGAATCACATTCAGACCAATTCTAGATGACATTCCGCTCCACAATGTGAATGCAAATGGATAACTTGTTCTCCAGAAAACTAACAACTGATTCGTCATTACAATAGTTCCAAAACCAGAAACCCTTGAGTCCCTTAACGGGCCCAGTCTTATCCCATGACTGAAGACTAAAATATGCAGAATGATTGGCTTACAGGATTTCAGACACTCCTCACTCAATCCAAATGAAACAAATTTGTGTGGATGAAAATGGAAATTCCTGAAATCTGTAAAAATCTGTCAACAGTGAAAACATTGTCATTCCGGTAAGAAGAGAAGAGAACATATTCTAAGAAAGGCATCTTTAGTCAGAACCAAAAATGTTCTTAAGATAGCCAAGATCCGGTGACTTTTTTCAGTAACACTAATGCAGATGATCAGAATCAGTGTAAAAAGTCCCTTATGTAAACATTTCATATCATTGCTTGAAAATGTAAAGTTAATCACAAGTTAAGTGATCACAAGTTAACCAGAAACAAAAAGCCCAAATGATATGCGGCCTGAATCATGAAGTCTAAAGCGGATCACTTTTTTCTTTTCACACTCATGATAGCTACAGATTGTCTTACTGGCTGTTTATTGTTTAAATTCAGTGAGTGAGGAAAGACTAATTTAGCTGTGAAAAGAAGCAGAGAGGGAAAACTCTGCCATGAAAAAGAAAACATGTACACCGTGCTTCAAAACATCGGAAGTCCAAGTCTGCATACCTCAACCAGGAAGAAAAAAACCTTGATCAGGATCCAGATTCACATCAGGACTGCAGTCGCTTGTGATTTGATTTTTGAGTGATTCTACATTAATATTTACACAAAAAACAAACAAATGAGCCATCACCCTGCATGAGATCGGTAATATGTGTGTTACAAACAAGAATTACAGAATTAAAATAATTCAATTAGGAGTCAAAGCCCCTGACGTGACAGTGAAATGTGGCTACTGTCCAGGAGTTTGCCCTCTTTGCTCCAACTGGAGGTATTTAGGGATTGGAACATCCCCGATAGTAAATGGGAGGAACTCATTTTAGATCTTTGCAATCAAGCGCGGTGGAAATCATCCTCCGTCATGCCGCTGTATACCACGACCTTTGCATGAGTTTGCA